GCCACGAGCGGCCCCCGGGGCGGGGGGACACACAGGCACAGGGGGACACGGGCAACCCACGCCGGCCACGGGGCCCGCCTGTCCCCAGTCCCGCAGAGCCGCGCCGTGTCCCGGCCCAGGAAGGACAAGAGCCCAGAGCAGGGGCTCGGCTGTGCCGGGGAAGTGACATTGCAGGGATGCTCATTACGTGGTTGTGGCATAAAAACGTTGCTGAAAATGCTGCAAATTGTGCAGAAATGACAGTTGATTTAATGTCGAGAGCTCAGAGATAATTGAAGGTGGCCCAGTCCCATTTAGGGGCTCTGTGGGTGTCTAAAGTAACAAGTTCCACCTCTGTCACCAAAAATAACAATTTGTTTTTCTATGAATATATATTTCTCTGGCTAATAAAAACATCCACCATCTTCAACCCTGCATGCATTTCATTGGAATTATTCCCGGTGCAACTGGGACTGTAGTCCAGCTCTGTAATAATGTAGTGCTTGCTCCCTAATACTACATTGGTGGTGGGGAGTTTTAGTCGCAAATTTCAGTAATAACTGCACCTCCACCATCCTCTCCTCTTTTCGCTACTTACTTGTTGCTGCTTGCAAGTCTGCTTGCAGTTAGTGCTGCTTCTGCGTGCAGTTACTTACTGCAGTTACTTGTTGTTGTTGCCTATAGTTAGGGTATAGAGGTGAACCGGGCAGACTGTAAGACAGTGACACCAACCAGGGCTCACTGTCAAGGTACCACGCGGCCGGGACAGGGAAACAACCTGATAGGTCGGTCAAGACAAACAAGGGACTGGCAAAGGGATGTAAGAGCCGGCCCTGTGAGACTAAATTGAATCCAAAAACAAGGCTATATCGCCGTTTAAAGAAGAAAAGGCGTGAGGCTCGCCGTGGGAGGAGCGAGGGAGTGGTTATGTAAATCAAGAAACCTTGAAAGGACACATTTTTTGTGTGCTGGGATTTGGTCGCAAGGCCGATGAAACCAGCACGCTATAATTACAAGTCCATTGTTTCGTGTCATATGGTCATCTTCAAATTTTTTAAACCAGAGATATTTCTCATACTTGTAAGTACAGTGTTCTCCATTTTGGAATTAACTTTCCTGAACTCCTTCACTGCCGGGCATTTTGAGGATATCTGCTTGTTATTTTATTTCACAATCTACAAGACTCTTTGCCCTCAAGTCCAGAGGAGAAAGGACTCTGTGCCTCAACAACCCAACAGTTCAGGCAGGTGCCCACAGGGCTCCTGCTGCACCTCCTCCCACAGGAACAGCACCCCATTGCTTCAGTGGCTCCAAAGCAGGCCTTGGGCTTGCTGTGCAAAAACCACACAGTGGCCAATGTGTGAAACCCAGGGGAAAAG